TTCATATTCACATATGAGATCATATATTGTTTATAAATTTCTAATCAATAAAACCCTCAACAGACAGATGAAAATAAGAATGAAATTATTTATTCACTGTTGAAAGGTTACCTGATAAATCTTTCCTGCATTGAGTTCCATTGGAACACCAGATGATGATAATCTATTAGTATGTATAACAGTTATAGACATATAACCCTACACACTTTACATGAATATAGAAAAATCTACCTCTCCTTTCAATGACATTTCCCGGTCTCACCTGCACCAAATAAAATAAACATGAAGATGACGGAACTCCAATAGAAAAGGCAGTAGGGATACCAAGGTCCAAGGCCAATGAATCCTGTTCTACCATGTGCTGACATAATGTTTTGCCACCTTAGTGCAGATATTTTTTTGACCTTTACCCATCAACAACTTCTGTTTAGTATGAGCCATAAACAAAAATTGCATGTTTCCAAGAACTTAACTGGACACTATAGATCCCAAATAACACCGTAGTTCGTAGAAGGATATATCACAACTGTCACCATAACAAAGGCATCTGAAAAACAAGAAAATGGACAGAGGAATGGAATGAAGCACCATGCTCCTACACAAAATTTAAATTCTTGTGCAAGCCCAATAAATTTCTCAGTATGGCTTGTTTGGAACACTGCATAAAATTATTTTCATGACAAAGGAAGAAAGAGAAAAAGTACAACAAGGATGCAAAGATAAATAACATGGTCGCACAAAAGAATGTTTATTAAAGAGTAAAAACTATCATAATGCGAGCAAAATGATATCTTGAGCATTTTATCTCCACACACCTTTGGATAACTTAACTCTTACCTTATTCTCAAAACGAGTAACTTGTTTATTTCTAACTTTCATTTGTAAAAAAGAAAATTATTTATTTTTAAACTACTATTTACTTGCAAATAAATTTTTTTAAGCTTAGCAAAACAATCAGTGTGCACTCACATGAAAGTTTATAGTTCTTTTCAGATGCGCATAAACATTTACAACACAAGCTCCTAATGTTTTCCAATTATCCTAATCCCATCGATGCACGTTTAATTTGCAATGTCGCAGGCTATGCTAAATTTTAATTTAGCATTTTCATTCCACAATCGTCGACCATAAATATCGAAATAATGATAATAAAACTTACATCAGCGCCGGAGAATCTAGCACTGCGGAGCTGGGTTGCCGACCAAGGTGAAGCGAAAAATTCATAAACCGGCGGCTGGCATATTGATTGGCGGCTGGAAGTGGTGATAGTTCTCTGTGAGAAAAGCGAATTATCATAACCATTTACCGATCGAATCGAAGCGGAGTAGTAGAGAAGAGCTCGAGAGAGTCGTTTATTCAGAGCTTGCATTTTGTGTTACTGTTTTCTTTCTGATTTGACACTTTTTAAGTGCTGAGGTAGTGAGCTTTTGTTAGACCCTCGCGGTGAAAGGAGGTCAAGAGAAAAAAATTCCTATATTACATATTTTTAAAAGAATAATAATATCTAGGTATAGTAATATGCTCAATGAAAATTAGAATTTATTTATTTATTTAATTATACTTTAATATCATATAGTGTCACTTAAATTGAATCGAGCTGACTTATTTTTTTTAAAGACGGGTATTTTTTATTTATTTATTTTTTGTATATAAATCCCCGCTTATTTAAAAACTAGTGAGAAGCACGTGCCTTGATGTAATTGATTATATAATAACTTAAATATAAAAAAATATTTATGTCAAACATTAATTTCATAAATTTTTCTTATAAATTGCTAAATGTTTCGAGGTAACATTAAAAACTAAAGTAAAAACAAATCACTCTTAAAAAAGAAAAAAAATTAAAACTTCATCTCTTTGCGCAACGCATCTCTCCGTGCAGTGCAGAATGGAGAGATATCTCTCCTTGCTGCATGGAGAGAAATTCTTCGTGCGGAATGGAGAGATTCTCTCCATTTTGGATGAGATGAAGGAGTGTGAAAATAGAGAAATAGTACTGATGGTTGCATGAATAGACGGAGAGACACTCCATTCAGAATGGAGAGAAACTGCACATTTCTCCATTCAAAAATTAATCAGATCAACGGCAAGATTAAAAACAACCATCACACAAAAAAAGTAATTAATTAAATAAACGTGCTTACCAAGAAAAGTTATGTTACAAGACAATATATTAATATATGTAAATGCTCACATCAACGTAAGGGGTCATACCTGAATGCGATTGCGATGAGCAAATTCCGATGCTGGCCTCCATTTGGACAAAAATATTGCTACAATCCAAACAAGACAATTATAGAATCTGTAGAAATATATACACAGATGTTCATACATAAACATAAGATTAGATGATTGTTTCACAACAAATTCATAAAAAATCAACACAAACAGTCCGACGAAGAGAGGTAAATATATAATGAAAATAGTACATTTTCACACCTAATATACAGTAGCCCAATAATTAACCTCCAATCTATAACTATACACAGAGCAAGAGAGAGAATTTAAACCAAAGAAAAAAGTGTGTGAGAAGAATGCAAATGGAAACAGTGGTGGAACTGTTGTGAGCGCTTCACTAGAAGAAAGAGAAATGAAAGAAAAGGAAAAGGGAATTGAAAGATGAAGAAAGAGAAAGGAAAGAAAAAGAGAAGGGAAGGGAAGGGAATGGAATGGAAAGATGAAGAAAGAGAAGATGAAATAAAGACGGAAGAAATGGCGAAGCTGAAGACGAAAAGATAGCTTTCTGACAAATACAGTTTCCTTTCTCACGCAAACATCTAAAGTATAATAAAAGGTCAAACAAATCATAATCATTCCTTGAAAAAGAGAAATAATGAAGAATCAAACAAAAAAAAAAAAAATACAACTGGCTGTCTGGCTCTAGTCTTAGTAGGAGCAAAATCAAATCATAATCCATGCATGTACAGTTCATTATGAAATGTCTCAGCTAAAACGCCACTCGGCTTGGCTCAACTGAAGACGGTCATTCGGTTTATGAACAGTAAAAATCAAACTCAATCTTTTATATAGTAGTGAAAAAAAGAGAGAGAAAACTCAAGATGAGTCGGCTTGTGATCTTGCTTGACTCATGAATGTAAAACGATTATCGGGTTGGTCCATGACTCACATGAAAATGAGCCAAATTTGTCCATTGATCGAGTTGGGATGAGTCGAGCCCTCAATCAAGGTGCAATATCATCCACGTTATTTTTGAATACACCCTCATCAAAAGTATACTCGTGTGAAATTTTGACAATCACATCATCAAGTTTGTTAACTTTAAAAAATTGACGAGTAATTGACGTAATAATAGTTTGACGAGTTTAGCGACAAGTCAACAAATTTATATTATACAATGACAACTAGAAAATCATTTGAGAAAGCGTAGAGGTACTTAGATATTTAACCTACATATCACGTTTCCTACATAAATAAAAGAGTCACTTTTTTTAATTGTTCATAAATCGAGCCGAGCCAAATGGCTTGATCGCTCGACTCGGCTAAGCCGTTTTTGGTTATATTTTTTTACATTTGATTCAGTATAATGATTTGACGGCTCGACTCGGCTAAACTTTTTTTTAAAAATTCGGTATTTTAAGTTATAAATATTCGTTTTAAGCAATTTAAAATTTATTGGAACTGTTGAAGCGCTGTCATGATAAATATGTGATCGATAATTTTAAATATCAAAAATTAAAGCGCGGCCATAATAAATATATGATCGATAAATTTTAAATATCAAAAATAATTTTACATTANCAAAAATAATTTTATATTAATTGTATAACGTAAAGTCATGATTGTTGATGTTTATTTTCAATTTCAACCTCATTCCAATATCCTTTTTTTGAACTTTATTTTCCTACAGTTTTTCGTTTGATTCGATATTTCACGATATAAATATCTATTTGGATCGATTTAAATTTTAAGTGAAAATAATAAATATATCCTCAATAATATCAAAAATAATTTTACATTAACTGTGAAACGTAAAGTTGAGATTGTTTATATTTCTTTTCAATCACAGTTCTATTCCAATGTCATTTTTTCGAACTTTTTTTCCTACAATTTTTTGTTTGAATCGATATTTCACGATATGAATATCTATTTGGATCGATTTAATTTTT